ATTTTGCAAAGAGGAAAATACATCTCGGCAGCTAGCAAACGTTCTAGTCGCCGCAGGCCTTTATCAAATTGAAACGCAACGCGATAAAAACCCGCAAAGTTTTAGTGCCCCTGCGCAAATGTTCGCCAGCCGGTGAAATAAAATAACTAAAAAAAAACGCATAACATCGGAGGTTGCTTTCAATTCTAAAAGGGAGCCGGGCTAACTCGCAACTTCATCTTCTTGAGGAAGAAAAGGCTTCCGTCTTTCTCACCTTTTTCTCTCCTCTTCGTCGAGATTAAAAAGGAGTTATTTTGGACCTTTGCTACTTCGTGAAATGCGAAAACTCGGCTGCCGGCACAAAAGTTTCTTCTTTCTGTTGGGTGCGTTTTGTCTTGGGTGCTTTCAGCAAGGCGGCGAATATTAATTAGGGCGGCACATTTAATCCTCTTATTCGCTGCCATTTAAAATTTTATGAAGCAGGGAAATTGCCTTGAAGATTGCAAAACCTGGCGGAGAGATTATATGCAAAATTTTGCATGACCGCAAAATACAACTTTGCAAACACCCATCGACCATCACATAAAAAAATAAAGCATCATTCAGTTAATCTTCGGAGTACAGGTTTATTTGGGTTTATTTATTAAAATATTTATTATACTGTGAAAACAGTTTTGTCCTTTTTCTTTGTTTTAAAAGCTTCCATAAAAAGCGCATTGTTCACTCAAGTTTAATGTATAATGATAAAAAAGGACCAAAAGAGACCTTCCATCCACATTTTCACGCTCCAACGCCTTTTTACTTTTTAAAGATACACTACGTCCCCATTTTCGTACGTTTTGGTGCTTGCAAGTGGATCAGGTGCGCTATTATATAGTCTTCGCCTATTCATTCACCCGGCCGCTTAATTAAATTCAAGCCTGGGCGAAAAATTCACAAAGATGGACCTTGTCCACATGGGTGGTTCGATCATACATCGCCCAGAAATTGTATTATACGGCCGCCTTTCTGCGCTCAAAATTGGATCCACGCACTTTGCCTGCGCAAGTGGAGAGCCTCTCAGCGAGTAATGGAGGCATCCGAGGAGCTGCTTGTTTGGCCGTGCTTGAAATGTGAGATTTTGGCCGCTTTGTGATTCACGGAATCGCAAGAATTTTGGAGTCACATAGAGGGCAAGGGCAAGACAGACGAATCCTTTGAGATGGAAAACTTTACAGATCAGATGATGATTTAGAAACTAGATTCATTTCAATGGTAAAAAAGCTCACCGAAGTGTACATTGAGAATTTTTTTATAATAGCGAGCGGACTGATTATAAAAAAGGTCACATCGCATATTGATTATTGATTTTATTGTCCTATTGCTTCATATTTGCAAATATTATCGATAGAATAAATAATTCATTGACAAACCTTTTTCTTTTCATGACTTGATTTGTGAAGAATAAACAATAATAATAATAAAATTGATAAAAAAATAAGATACTTGAAGAAAAAATGCCATTCCATTTGAGCGATGGTTAATGTTACCTTGTAAAAGTAATCCTCCCGGGCTCTTCTCATTTTCAGGCAATAAAACTACCTCAGGATCACATTGACACGAACAAGAAAGGAATATAATAATTCTCAAGCCAGCTAACGCCACATTCGATGGCTGGATGGGTGAATGTTAATTGATGAGGAAAGCGACTCACTGGGCTGCACGGTTTACTTTACACTGACTGATAACTTGAGCAAACAGAGACGCCTCTCTCGTGTATTCCATTGGGTACAAAATTCTCGCGCTTTTTGCAATCAAGCACACGCCGAATGCAATTAGTGCGTGACTTTTGTTGGACATTGCGGATCGTAAACAACGGCAATATGTGCACAAAATAAATGAATGGCCTGATATAAGGCCTGTTCCCAGCTTTGTTTGAAAAATTTGTTTCAGAATACGGGTGATATCTCCCTGGGTGGCACTACTCCCAGTTATTATTTGTATTTCAGCGGCGCCAACGGGCGCGGTGGAGAACCGTCATCAGTTATAAATATCACGAGTCAAAAAAGGAGGCGGCGCGGAAATTATGGCGTATATAGGCAGAAAAAGGCATCCTCTACTTCTGTGGGTGTTTGTGTGAATTTCGGTAAAAAAAAAATGCGGCAGTGTCGTCGTTCGGCTGCTGCAAAGGGCAAAACTCCACGGTGCGAGAGATCAAAGAATGCGAGAAATTCATGCGCCAGCGAATTTCTTTTGCCGATGATGCTTTGTCTGTTTGCTTGGTGGCCCGAAAAACCTTGCCAGATGTGAATAATTGATGGAGTGTGCGTTTCAAAAGAAGCACGCGCGCAATTGGAACTGAAATAACAACTTTGTGTAATTATCGCGCCGGCAAACCAACGACGGGGCGTTCTTTTGAAACGAGGACGCCACAGCCTGAGAATTAATTTGGCTTGATGTAAACAGAAGTTATGAAGTGGATGGTGTGCAATTGGAACGATTGACCTTTACGGATATGAAGTGGGACAGAGCTGAAGAGAATAATAAACAAATGTTGATCAAAAGAGTGGAAATTGATTTAGTTCATTCCTGATATAAATGTTTGAAATCTGATGATGGATACTTGGTGTAGATAGTTTTGTTTTTAATTAAATAATGGCTGCCGCTTATTAAAATCACGTTAATTATACTATAATATATTTCAATAATTTTTAAACATAATTTTAAAATAATATAGAACTCAGACACTTGAAGACTAAAGCTGTGATTAAAATTTTAAAAACCCTTCTTAAAATCTAAATCTAAAATAACGTGCATCAAATATTTAATTCAATTTAATCGTTTATTGAGTAATTATTAATCTCATTAATATTTTCTTGTTCACATTATTGGGTTAATTCCACGTCAAGGTGATTAGTCGCAGTACTAATTAATTATTTCCCGTTTCGAGTGGTTTCTTTGGGTTTTAAATACTCAAAAAACAATTATATTGTTTACATTCATTTATTGAAAAGCAATTTGTATGAAAGAAAGAGAATTTTCGCATCCGTATACACGAGCACACAAAGCTGGAGAGGGCAAAGAAAAAAACAACAACACTGCTAAACAATAACATTTTCCAAATCAAAAACAGACTGAGAAAAAAGTTTAATAACAAAAGCCACGAAAGCGTACTTTTGAAAAAAAAAATATTTTTACTGAAATTTAATTTTACGTCTTATTTAGGATATATGTTTACTAAATTTATGTTGGCTGAAGCAATATATTAGTTCTGACCGTTTATAAATTTAACAGGTCTGAGGCGAGAGCAGCACACAATGAGCACAATATTTATGCCATTAGGTGTATAAAATGGTCTCGGTCACAAAGGTTCAAAGTCACACTCCCCGGCGGAAAACGTCTGGAAATTTCCTCGCACAATGAAAACGCGAAGAAGCGGGTCGATTTGGCAACTTTCCAAAAAGCGAAAATTCGCCATTCGCGTCTGATGCGATAAGCAATCCACAAGGCACACGGGCATAAAAAAAATAAATAAAAAATATCCGAAAAAGAAAACGAAAGCTGTCTGGCAGTTCAAACAAACGGGGAAACACACAAGCAAATAAGTAACTCTGCTGCAGACCCAAAAGTATCGGAAAGCGGTCGACCGATTGTCAAACAAAGGAAATTTATTTCGACGGCCGCTCGAGTGGCTACGAAAATAATTAGACCTCGCTCGAACGTTTTGTGACCTTTGCCGCCGAGACTGGCGACGACAAATCACTCCCCGACGGTTTAATTAATAGCGACTTGGCCAACTAATTAAACCTTCCCCTGGAGAGCGCAAGTTCATAATGTAGCGATTCCTGCCACGAGTGGTGCTGCGAATTATTATTCAAATTATCGTCATCTTTCGGTTCGTTGGAGACGCTCGAAGTTTGCATTCGCACGGCACCGCTTTGTCTAGCTCTTATGTATATTTCCTCACGGTTTGCGAACAGAGTATCTTTGTATATGCTTTCGAATCTTGAATAAACTAGTTTCAAGACTTGTCGGGTTCATCAGCATTGCTTTTCATTGCAAACTTGTAGCTTGATTGCAAAATAAATTATTTATAAATCAGCATTCAGATTAAATTTATATCGCTTCAATGGCTCAAAATGACGAAGCATCATCTTTTTTCTAGGTAAATTTCAATCATATCAATAAGATAAGAACCTTCACACACATCTTTAATTTGGAATGAAACTTTCAATTTTTTATTGGCACTCCCTATAAAATGCTAGTGCAGAAGGCACCACCTAATTGATTATGTTTATTTAATAAATGTACTTTATTTTGGGATACGTAATTTAAAGAAATTTAGAATACCACTTACATTAATGTTTTCTATTTGACCAGCTAAAAACCCTGTGCCTATGAAAACAATGCATTCTGTCAGCTCATAAATTAATGCACTTTAATAACCGCCTTCAACAAAAGACAGACATTTTAATAATAAAAATTCGCGCATACTGATTGTGGGCATTTTGTGAGAGAGAACAAACTGAGTAATGCGAATCATCACTTTGTACAAATCGACCTTTTTAATCCAATTCTGAGAAGCCAATCCATTTAATGATTGCTGCAATTAAACTCGCTTACAGTCAAAATGGGAAAAAAGAGCGTTTCCATAATGAGGTGCAATTATAAAAGCTGGCGAACAGGGGTCGCATTCTGTCTTTGCATATCGACCGACTGGAGGAAATTAACAGCTAGAGCTGTTGGACTAATTGCTTGCTTATCACAAGTGCATGCATCAGAATAATATTGATCACGCCGGTGCAGAAGGACAAAATTGTGAAATTCCTTCCGGGGAATGGGAGATCATTGAACTTATCCTGAATGAACCCAGCGTAAAACCAATATCCATAGAGATTGTTTTCAAAAATAAAACCTGAATTACAAAATGCACACCTAGAATGTGCAAAGACCATTCATTTTGAATAAGAAAATGATTTATTTTGCAATTATTACGGTTGAAATCTGAGGATACGATAATTTATTAAAAGTGCCAAACTCACCGTTTTTGGTTGCTGGGCATTTCTCTTAGATTTCATCTTCATGTTGTGGCGGTTGTGTTGAGGCCGAAACACGAGAAGCGAAAATCCACTTGCTTAGCACAAATTTTAGTATCCAGCTGCATACTTTGAAACGAAAAATTTCTGCTCAATAGCGCCTGAAATCAAGATAATTTTTTTTTAAATTTTTTTAATTGTTTATCCCTCTTGGGAAAGGCACCAGCGGTAGCAGACAGGCTGCTAAATCGCAAGGGCCGATAACTCGGATTCTCCCCTTTCGGGGCCGATAACACGGTGACCTTGCGACCCACTGGGCCGGGGAGAGAGGAGCATAGGATGGGTTTGTATGTTGGGAATTTGAAGGATGAGGAAGGTGAGCGGCTGCGGCCTATGAATGGGAACTATGCCGGCATTCGCCTGGAATGTCTGATGGAAACGGCAGAAAACACCAGACTGCATAGCCGAAATTGCAGACGAAATGCCTGCAATTTCTCCCGAATCTGCCTGTCGCAGTGATTAATGCACCTCCTATGATTTTCTGTAGTCTTGTGAACTAGCCGGTCAGAATCAGAACTTTTTCAAGTCATAAATAAAAATTATTTATAATTAGTGCATACTTAAAAACAGATTTTTGATAGAGCTTTAATTAAAATATTTAGTAAAAATAAAAATAAATCAATACTCATCACCCCTGAATCTGGGTGGCGTGCAAAAAGGACAAGTATAAACCGCAAATAAGATTTAGATGATGATTAAGTTTATAAAATTCAAAGGAATTTTTAAAACGATATAATAAAAAAAAATATTTAGTTTAAATCTCGCTGTACACACATTGAAATCTCCCCCTGATAAATGATAAAGAGTCGTATCGTGTGTCTGGCCGTGGACCTGACGAGAGCACAAATATTTTTAGGGACATTTTAAATTGAAAACAATACAATGGTTGAAGAGTGATATTAGTAAAAAATAACTTATTCTAACAAAACATAAAACGGTCCGGCAACGGCGGCAACAGTTGCCACACATAAATGGGGACCTGATTAGAGATGGAGACCCCGGCTTTGGAATGAAAACAAGAGCAAGTGGGGTACATTTATAGGAAAATATCACATAGAAGTGAAAGAGAGCCTTTCGAGGGACGTGGTCTCACCTTCGCGATCACTTGGTTGGCTCATGTTGAATCAGATCGCAATGACAAAATTCACCAAGCAAAGGAATGTGCGCGAAAATTTGGCCCGGGAGCCGCTGATGCACAGGCAGCAGTCGTCGGTGCGAGACTCGAAACCTCGGCGACGAACTCTGACCTGCCGGTGGGCGCCCGTACCAGACGCAACTATCGATCATCATCGTCTTGCGAAAACATCGAGGGCAGATTCCCCCTCAAAGGAATGCTTTAGATGAGTGTTTCAAAGGTGTAATTAGTGAAATAATTAATTATTGAAAGTTGTAACTTTAAGAAATTCGAGTTTCAATGCTTTAAAATTGCATGAAACGTGTTTCAATTGAAAAAAAACATTTAGTTCTGCAGGTTTTATCGATGTCTAAATTTGCAGGATTTAGTTTCTCCAGAAACCGCGCGGAGGCGCCTGCATCCAGTTTGTTTTTCAATGTTTTCCAGCAATTCAAGTAATGTGCCAATTTAACCGGCATAAAACGGTTTATTTTAAAAAGCAATTAACTAACCGGTATATGCAACTTTGAAATTCAAATTTTACCGGTTACCGGTTACTCAAGTGCATTGAGAAGTCTCAGAAATGGGAACCATAAACAACCATGTGATGTGTTGATTTAAATTGTTTACTACTTTTTATTTTGCTTATAAGTCGTGATAGGTGATTTACCAAATTTTACAAATTTTTGCACGAACTTCTTCAACGTAAGTTTTGGCGTTTCGTAGGAAAATGTCGTCCGTGCAGGCTGCAAAAAGGCTTCTCCGAAAGGAGATGAAGAACCGACTCGTGGCAATGTCAAAAGAGCAAATTCTTTTGCAATCAGAACAGTTGACAGAAAAGGTTTAGTGTTTTATAATATATCTTTTTTCCTTTTCTTATGACAAAATTTTCTAGCTGTTGGCCAACCCAATTTACAAAGAGAGCAACAGGATTGCTATTTATCTGAGCATGTCTGAAGAGGTCCAAACTTGTGGAATTTTGAAAAACATTTTTTCCACTGGCAAACACTGCTTCATACCAAGGTAGATTATTTAATCTGAGATCAACTCTTTATTCTCTTATAATTTTTTGTTTTGTTAATAAAATATTTACATGCATATGGAACAAATTAACCAAATTAATTAATGGAAAAATAATGAAACTAATACACGGTAATGAGATTAATTTATTGGTATTTTTTGGGGTTACAATATTAATAAAATGGAACTTTCATTTTTTTTTGTATTCCAGGTACGAGTCAGTGAATAACAGCATGGAGATGCTGCGTCTGCATTCGATGGATGACATACAGACTCTCGAGGTCACCAAATGGGATGTCCGTCAGCCTTCTGAAATAGATGGAAGGGAAAATGCTCTTGAAACTGGTACATTTTCCAGCTCTTGTATCTTTTACGACCATAATTATTGAAGTTTATATCTGATTAAGGTGGTCTGGACTTGATCATAGTCCCAGGACTGGCCTTCACTATCTCTGGACAGCGTCTAGGCCGAGGCAAGGGCTACTATGACACGTTCCTGAAGAGGTGCACCTCCATCCAGAAGGACCCTCCGGACACCATTGCCTTGTCTTTTACCGAGCAAATTGTTGAGTCCATTCCTACAGAGGGTCATGATTTCATAATTGACTCGGTTATCATTCCTTAAATGATGGAATTAAAGTTTTCTTAATAGATAAAGTCTAAGACTGTATTCAAGTATAATGCTTGCTAAGCTATATTTTACCGATGGCCAGAAATTAATTTAATTAAAATTTCAATTACTTTTTACTTATTTGTCCACATTTGACAAAATGTTAACTTTTTCCCAATGAGAATTGAGACTAGCACTGTGTTAAGAGAAGAAATAAAATGCTGAATTTTGGTAATTTTATTTAAACATTATTTTATTGATAATACAAGACAATTTTTTGTAATTAACTCACACACTTGGTTATAATTAATAAATATAGTTGGCATCGCAGTCCATTTTAAATAAAAGAAAGGGAGGAGACTGACAAATTTATTGTATTAGCTAATATGCGGGGGACAAAAATCTGCGCTCTAATTTTTCTATAGGGTAGAAAAGAGAAAAATGCTACCTAAAAACATCAACTACTATATAATATTCATTAATTATCACAACCAAATATCTTGATAATGAAGCCAAAATAAAATTAAAATCGCGCAGACGGTAATTGATTATAAACTTTGAGTGTGGATTTACATAGGAAATTAAAAAAGATGAAACTGGTTCAGCAGGGAGCAGAGCCTAAATCTAAAATATCACATAAATACACTTTTCAGCGCTGGCTTGTCATTTTGACATATAAAATTGGAGTATATATGCTTAAGCAGCGTCCTTCACAATAAATTAAAATAATTAAATTAAAGATGGAAAATGGTAATCACACCACAGCAGCAGTCAATAAGTTAGCAGCTAGTGTGGAGCAATGCAATGACTTGAGAGTTAATTTTGTTGGAAAAATCTACGCCGGGTCCAAAGAGTCTTTGAAATTTGAGTAAAAATAATTTTGAATGTTTGTTCAAATTTGTTTTAATTTTCTCCCTATAGGAAGAAGTGCACATTCAGAGCGAGCCGAACATTCGCTCTCCGCGAGTGTACATCATGCTGACGGCCATTACAGACACCATGAAGAAGATCAGTCCGAGGATGGACACTATCAGCTGGCACCAAAAACGGCGGCGTTTGCCCGCAGCGATTTTGCGCATCACTCGCTCCGCTGCGGGGATGTCCAGCGTGAAGTCCGGACGCTGTGATGGCGGCTGAAAAAATTTAAAGATCAGCCTTAAAGAAAAAAATATTGCAAAAAAATTTGCCAAATCGCTGTTAAAATTATTTCGGGTTTAAATATTGTTATAACTCGTGAACTTTGTTTGAAACTTTTTCCGTCAATTGTGTCAGAATTTGCGCAAACGAGCAGGTTCAAGCTAATTTTTTGCCGCAAACAAAAGGGCACTAATGCCGGTGCAAAATTTCCGCCAGTGCTAACACGTGCAAATAAACAAGCATGAAAAGAACAAATAATGGACACGTCCGCTCAACCCATTACTGCTTCAAAATGCAAATCTGCCGTTGCGGGTATGAGTTGTGTTTTCCGTTGCAAAACATTTTTGTGCTCTCCTCACAAAATTTTTTTACACCTCCATTCGATATTTTGCGCTTTTATTTAGCACATGTTGCGTTTTCTTTTATTCACAACGTTTTAGCAAACTAAAGGAATAGCAGATAATATGATATACAACTAAGATTTAAATGAGAAAGGAAAAAAGTGATTATTGAAAAATTATATGTGAAAATTTCATAATTTGTCTTTGACTTAATCAATATTAAAATTAAAAAAAAAAATATATATTATTGAGCCATTAAAAGATCCGCGCTTAAGGGAGTGCGAGAGACTTGAAATGTGCATAAGTAACAACCAATGACTTAAATTTATAATATTTCATTGGTTGTTACTTATGCACATTTCAAGTCTCTTGCACTCCTTTAAGCGCGGATCATAATTAGAGGTGATTTTTTTCTTTTTTCAAGTCAAAATATTATTATTTTATTTATTAAAAAAAATTGTCGACAATCAAAAATGTATTATTTTGGCATAATATTAAAAATATCTTATATTGTTGGCTAAAGTTGCTTCATTTTATAAAAAAGGTGGTCTCATGAATCTGCAAAAAGGAACAATAACTTCTCTGACAATAAAATCAAAACTGGTCAAAATATTTCTTTTTCTAAATTAAATATATTTTAGCACGCAAGAGAAAACTGTTATTGAGCATTCCAGCGCTAAATTGTTTCAAACATTAAAAAATTCACGCCATTAATCATTTGTCACGAAAAATTGCTGAGAAAATATAATACTCGAACAAAAAATTAGTCACTGCGGTGGATGGGGTCTTTTTGATCTCAGAAGTTTAACCAAAATTCTTGATGATGGTGGTGGCTTTTTGTCCAACAATTCCTTTTTCTCAAGTCAAGTCAAAGTGACTTGCCCATGAGTCGTTAAGTTTGTCTCTGTACGGCTTTTATATTTGATACTTCGTATCAAATTTTCGCAACAGCCTTGACTAGGGAAGTTTTGCCAAAAATGAGAATGTGCCAACGACGTCTGGGATGTGGGAATAAATTAATCTAACTCGAGTGTATTTTATTCTTTGCGGTCGTTGTTTTCTCTCTCATATATGCAAAAAAAAAAACGTTCACATTTGACAGAGAAACGAATTCTTTTTGTCTCTTAAAAGCTCCCAAGTTTTTCCTTTTGACGCACTTATGCATAAAACCTTGACACATTGAAAAGTTTTTGATTAATTTGTCGCTAATGTTGAAGCTGACAAAGGATTTTAATTTATATTCATAAAAGCGTAGTGGGGATAAATATAAAAATGCTTGATCAGTCAAGATACACCTGCGTAAAAATTTAACAACAAAAGAAATTAATTGGTTTCTTTGAGGAAGCCATAACTCTAGTTAGTCACGTTCCTTGATTAAACTGTGAAAATGAATAAGAGAGATGGTTGGCATTGAGACTTGATATGTTGGGATAAAAAAGATATATCTTTGAAAATTTGCATGTGTTCAATAAAATTCTAATATTGGTAAAGATTTTTTAGAAATTTTTAATTTGAACAAAGAGAAAAACAATTAAACTTTCTCAGTTGCTTATTTTATTTCAAAAATTCACAAAAATTATTATTACTGTGGTTTATAGGTCAAAGATGTTAATATTGTTGTCCTCTATTTTTCCAACTTTTTATGGTTGAAAAAGAAAATATATCAATTTTTTGGAGATCAATAATGCACCACCACTATAGCAAGAATTAAATTAAACTATTATTGTAATTAACAGTATGTCTCTTTTCAAAGGTATTTTCAGCTTTTTTTTATATATAGTTTTTTGCTGTGAATTTATGACTTATGACTGTATTGAATGGAGAATTAATAAATAAATAATGTATTATTTTTACTGTAATTAGTTGCAAAGTAGTCGTGTGAAAGCAAAAGCAGGAAAAATCATACACGTTATACATTTATCGTAGCTTCTAATACACTTAATAACGAACAATAAAGGCTGGCCTGCGGGCAAACGTTACACCTGCTCTTTTAATCAATGATTAACACGCCGCGAGTGCAAAAAAGCAAATTGATAAAATTGACTGCTACCGTGCTGCGCTGTTCTATCTATACGCGTGCTGTGGGGATATAAATTTATGTATGCAGTGTAACACACATAATGACCCAACGTGTATTATAATAACATTGCGCCGCCGCCGCGCCGCGTAGTCGGAGAACGTTTGCACAATTCGACTTTGTGACGTAAAAACTGCCTTGCCAGAGGCGATTTGGCGAGAAGAAAGGCTCAGGTCGCTGATCTGGTGTCGACCAGATATAATATGCGCGCTTGGCAAGCTGTTTATAATAATACGTGTGGAGGAATGCCGTGCCCCACAATCTCTCATAACCAAACAAATTTGGGATTTTTTTTTTTGCTCGAATCACTTTACATATTTGACATTACCATATATCTTCATAATAATTGCAAATTGTCTCCTACATACTCCTTTTTTTGTACTAGATAGTTTGATAGGTCTCCATCTATCTAGGGTCTCTCCAAATGTCAAAAGTTTATGCCCCAAGTTGCAATCGGTGCGATTATATCGCAGGCGCACATGCTTTTTGACTCAAATTTCAGTATAGCTCGTGGGAATGAACGATTCACAATTTTTCTCGCCTTCACGCCCAGGTAATAATCTTCCCACAATTTTAACACCACGTGCGACTCTCGTTTAATATTCCCACCAAAAATATCGCATTGAGCAATTCGCATTTTTTCAGTTTGTCTCCCAAATAAAATAAAAAATATGAGGGCCGTCGACAGAACTAATGATAATTTTTTTATTTACGAGGTGCTGCCGCGATGTTTTGTCGCGTGTTTTGTTAATGGCTGGTACCAAAGGTGACGCACTTGGCTATGAAAAATATCTTGCCGGACGACCTTAACTTTGCACTGGCATATCCACTTTCGCTGCCAGTCGAGAATTCTTCGCGAAGGCTCCTGCTCTTCGCACCTCAAATTACTTACACACCAGCAAAGAAATATTTTAGCGCGGAGAGATGCTCATATTATGCGAGATAAACTCAAATATTGACCGCGATTTTCTCAAGTGTAGTTTCTAGACTGCAACAAAAACAAATTCCAGTGGATGTGGACCTACCAAACAAAGAAGCTGTCATACTGGAAAGCTTTTCACACTGGTCGACTGTTTAATAGAAAGCGATAAAGAACGAACTTTGTTGGTGATTTATTTTTTTTTAATTTTAGCAGCAAATTTTTTGGCGCTTAATTATTAAAAAATAAGCTTAACTCTTTAAAAAAAAATCAATAAAATCAGTTGTTTAAATAATCAAACTAATTGAAATATTTTTTTAAATAAATATTAAATTAGCTTCCCTTTATCAAATGCATAACGATAGAAAATAAATCAAGTAATTGATAATTGATGTAAAGTTTGATAAAACTAAAACTCATACATATAACGTTTGCTAACTTCATTTTAATAGCAAATAGAAACGATGCACGCCGTGGAATTTTGTTGCACAATTTTCGTGACGATGTGCAAGTGCAAGTTCATCATGCATCCAGCGTATATAATTGCTGTTTAATTTTGGTGTCAAGTGGACCCTCTTCAACTTATAGGAAAGCGTTAATTTTTGTAAACTATAATGCGCCTTGTTTTGAAAAGAAAAGATAAATAAGCTAATCTACCATTTTTGGCGTTATTAGACTTGCATAAATTCAGTCGAGTTTGACGAGAGGAATCTTGATGGGCGCTGATCTAATCAGTCTACTTGTAAAACGGAAACCAAACGGAAATGGAAAGTAGTGCTTCCTCACGCGCTTACGCAACTCTGTATATATGGAATCGCTCACTTTTACCGTTTAATAATATTTATGAAATACATATAACGCTCCACGAAATTTTACTTTTGTTTTCACTCTCAAAACGATACAGTGTTTTTCAGACACTTCTCAATCGGCGCTAAAGACGAATGACAAATTAAATAATATGTTGTGCTACTGATGGCGTTTGCTCGTAAATGGAATAAGGAATTACATCACTTCGGAATGTCATCGACGAGCTTGTTAAATGCGCGAATGTTGTAAGACAAAGAGGTTCTACCATTTTCGCTTTCAGCACGAGCGACGATGCCGCCTCTTTGCTGAGTCACAGAAATAAAGAAGCTGCATTTACTGTTAGAGACATGTTACATAAAACTCCGACGGACTGACTTAACTGAGTGAGATGCAAACTCTTACAAACGAAAGTGAAAACAGCTATAGGACACTTAAGGAGAGACGATACAAAAAAAGGGCACCTTTTAGGTATAAAAAAGATGGTAGAATAATAGTTTTAATAGCGCTTCTGAAAAAGAACAAATATTTTAATTTAAATTATTATCTGTGAAAGAAATTAAATTAATTCATTTTGTTTGCTCTACATTAAGTCATTACCATTAATTTAAACAAAACTATGCATTTCTCTAAAAACAAAGTTGTTGTTGCCAAATCCGTTTAAAATTTAATTAAAATGAGTGGAGGCATTGAATATTTTAGCGGCGACCAGCAGGCAACACAGGGCAATTATATCGCGCGGCGCGGGCCATGCTTTCTAACGACATGCACATAATAACAAACAATTTTGAAAGAAATAAAAAAATTTACATTCCATCTCTGCAGCGGTGGCGGCACCATTGTTCCGCAGCGCGAAACTAATTAAGACATTACTCAATATGATTTGCTAAAAACAGCTCGTTTGCCCGTTTAACGACAACTATTTCAAAAATGGAAATAAAAAATGCATAAAAAAGAAAAGAGCGAGAAAAGTGTGAGATGCTGAATATAAAAGGTCGGCTTGATGAATATTTATTACGCCACGCTCAATCACTCATTCACGAGAAGAAGTGAAGCGCGGTAGCCCCGCGCGAGTTATTATAAACGCGAGGCTATACAGTTTCAATCAGCGGGTTACGACGAGCGAAAGCCCCGGGCTAGAAAACGAAATGATTTATTTTCGGAGAGCAGCGAAACGGTGGCCAATTTCTAGAAAAGCAATTAGAATTTTTACTGCTTGCAAAATTATCAATATTGACTATTATATCCCTCTTCCGCAAACACACACAAAAAGTTTTAAAAAACGCTAAAAATTTATATTATAGCCGCTTAAATATAGCGGTGAGGAAACCGACCAAAAAATGAGCCAACTATCTATCGAGAAAGATCTTTTTCGGTCCAGTGACTAGGAGCCAAATAAATAAGCGCCAGGTGAAAAATTAGAACAATAAGTGACAGCTTTTGTGGTTAGAGGAATGCAACATAAAATTCATAATAGTTGCTTAATTTACAAGAGCATCAGCTGGATTATAGGTGTATTATTATGCCGTCAGAATGTGTGTTGACGCATATTAGGCAGCAGGTCCAACTCACTATTTTATTTTGACATCTCTATATGTTTCACAATTTTAAAAAATCCGATGCAGGCCATGTATATAGGTGATGATAGAGGAAAATATAAAAAAATATGATTGGCAAATCAACACCTTTTAGAACATAAAATTCTTGAGATACACATTCTTTTCTTAAATGTGTCTTAAAGGATTTATGCAAATTGTTATTGAAAAGTCTATCCAGCGCCATATGAATTTGGGGCATTCGTCTTTCAAAGATTATCAATAAACAAGGTTTTATCATTGATTATAGAGAATCTAGCTGAATCGGCTTTCCTGAATCTTATGAAATAAAAATACAGAATACAACCAAAATAACTCTACAGTCCACAAGCTATGAACATTTTTGGAAAAACAAAAGATATTTTGGAAATGAAGAGGAAAAAGCCCGATCTCTTCATTTCCATGATTATCTCCTCGAGTGTCAACTTCTTCAAAAAAAAATATATATTTTCCCTTTAAAAATTTTTTCTAGCTGCTCAATTTTTATTTATAGTGAAATATCTATAAATTGCATATAAAAAACAATTTTACAAATTATTTCTTTTCATTAATATGATTTGTTCATATTTATCTTAAATTGATTTCCAACTTGACTTATATTATGCTCTTCTTAGAAAATTTTCTGACAAGATTAAAACTATAACGAGCAGCAGGAGTCAAAAGCGAGAAGTTCGCTCATAGTGTGTGTGACTGGAAATTTGTGCGGCAACGACAGAAAATCACGAACGCACGCCGTCCTTGATGCCGTAAATTGCATTAAATAATGATAATAATGAAAATGTGATTTTTATACTTTTCTCCGCCAGCAACAGCAGCCGCCGCGCAGAGGTCAAATATGGCATCTGCCGTCACGAGCAGAGCGCGCTGACATGAGCGCGGCAATTATTATGTCATTATTATCAGCTGCGAGGGCTCGTTACGTTGGTTTAATTTTCAACGTTTTCGCCATTTTCGATCCTGTATCACCGCAAGATTCATTGCGGTTTCACGCCAAAGGTTACATACGTGCAGCAATTTATCGCGCACACACGTGGGATTGTCAAAAGGGAAAAGCGCATTTTGTACATGTACATGTGTATGATGTTGCTAATTCTGATTTTGACACAAGTGGGTCAATTCAATTAGTGGCGGGCGTGAGTTTTGGCTATCAGTGTTTTAGAAAATTATTATTATTATATGAAGCTGGGAAATTACATTTCTGAACGCGTACATAAGTGTGTTTTGGACTAAGAGTGAAGCAACACTCACAAAATATGTATGCTTTTAACGATTGTGTCCCACGGACAAGAGTTAGAAGAGAGAGGAAAATCTTGATAATCAGCAGTGGATTGGTGTTTCGCGAATAGAAGTTGACACTAAACGGTGGCAAGCGTTTAATTGGATACGTCAGCGAAACCACCTGTTGCGCTAATATCGTTTTGAAGTCATGACAGAGACAGATAATCTCATGAGTAGTTATTTGGACCTGAAATTCTCCATAACAATTATTTTAGTATCAACTGCCACTTATTAATATGAAAATGTTTATGAATAATTAAAATTATTTGGTTTGATTTGGTGTTTGATGTATGAGCAATTAAAATTAAGTAGCAATTTCTATGTCTTTAATTATTTCACTTTTTTATGGTATCTTAACGGGAAAATTTAAATGTGCTTAAATTCTATATATAGATTAGCCAATTTATAAATTAATTTGTGTATAATAGTTTTTACAAAATTTCACCACTGAAGAAAAGTATAACCTCGTTTTGCAAAAAAGCATGCATTAGGCATTATGCTCAAATTTTAGTCAAAAGCGTGTCATATTTCACGTCGGTTTGTTTCTAACAGTCTCCAAATAATAGACAAATTGAAAAAAATGTCATAAGTTTAAGAAATTTTATAAAAACTCAAATATTAAAAAAGCAACCAAAATAATGATTTTTTTTTCGTGATGAATAATAAATTTTTTCAAGATATAAATGTTGATAATTAGGTTTTACTTCTGAACTAACTGCATGAAATACTTTGCAAAGATCAGAATACTTTTTTGAGGCAAATTAAAATTATTTCTTGCCCGTTGAATAAAGTTAATAAATTAATGGATATCAATCGAACAGTCTGATGTTTGTGCTTCAATAAACTGAACACTAAAACTCATTGGCAATTCAAAATTCCGCTTAAATCGCATTAAGTCATTAGTTGCATCAAAGTAAAATGAGGAGCAATGGTAAAGCAATGAGACAGGGATGGAATAAATCACGTTCAATGACACCACGCTCAACATTGTCAGAAGCCGTGAAACCTGCAACGCGGACAAGAAAAGAAAAAATCTCGAGATTGAGGACCTTGAGTCAATCGCGCACGAGAGAAGAGCTCAAGATTTATATTTATTCCAAACCACGAAATCGGTGCACTCGGGAATGAATTCACGTACTCCTTGCTATAAATACCGCAAGCTGTATATTTTTCAAACATGCATGCGCTGAATTTAGCGGCGCTGAGAGGAACATGCTCATGTACTTATACTACATGCTCAGATTAACTTTTTTCATTTATATAGAAATTGTCAGTCAAGGTTTATCATCTTTCAGCATCTCGCGGGAATCATCAGCTGCGATGATCAAACACACATGCACACGACTCCTTATAGTGTGTTTAATTAAAATTAGGAAACGTTTGCTCATTGAAATTCATGCATTCGGAGGGAGAACGGTTCGCAGCGAACACATTTATGTGTTTATTTGCATCATTACGCTGGTCCAATTTCAGTTTACAAGTTTATTTTGGTTTAGGTGGCGTGTTGTATAGGCTTTCTTGTACGCAATAAAGCAATTAAATGCGAATGAAGATGAAATTTCATTTTTCAGTTCTACGACGATATATATAATTTTTGATACTCACATAATATTGTGCAGTCTTTTCGAAGTTTTGGGGAAGGCTTTTCTTGCTGGGCGTGGGCGAGCACTCGGCGGACGACTGCCAGGACGCTTTGGACGACGTTGAGCCGTCCGTCTTGTCGTTGGACGAGGAGGAAGATGAGGACAAGAGACGTGCCTCCAGCTGCTGGCTTCTCCAAAAGCCGAGCAGCCTCTCGTAAATGCCCACGCCGGAGGCACACTTGATTCGGTTCAGGGTGCCATATATCATGGCGTTTCGCACGCTACCCCGCACCAGGGCCATCTCCTGGTTCGTCATCAAGTCTGGCTATACATCAAATAAACCGAAAATTTATAATCTTAATAAAAGCTCTACGAAAAAGCTTGAGTAAAAAAATAATATTTATTTATTGCAAAATTAAATTATAATTTATTTATGCTCATTGCAATTATGCAATTTCTTCCATAACCAGCATGCACCCTTCATACATTCAAAATAATAATTTATTTAAAAGAAGTGCAATAATTATGAATTGCACAATCTGATAATTTTTGACAAAAAAAGGGAAGACACTACAATCAGATTTTAAATAATTTAGTAAATAAGCAATCAGTTAATTGATTTAAAAAGAATTTAATTTTACACGCCACACAGGACAGGGGTATTGAAATAAATGTTTTTGTTAATACCAATGGTAATGAAAAGCTTACTTTTTGCAGGTAAAGGGGAGGTGGCGGCAGCACGTTTGAAAGGTCCGAGAACCCGCTGCTGGAGGTGGAGGAGCCACATCGCGCCGGAGGCGGCGGCGGTGGCGTCTGCGCCGGGGGCATGTGCGTGCGTCCCGCCCCCGGGAGATCGCAACACGACTTACGACTGTCGTCGTCGCTCTCGGTTAGGCGTTCCCACAGTTGCTGCCTCCACGGCGGAGGCGGCGGGGGCGGTGACTCGACTGCATACTTTGCGTCGCGGCCGACGACTGAGCCGACCGGCGGCGGCTCCCGCTCAGGCCAGATTGGCGCGGGCACTTGACCTTCAGGGATGGTAGTGAGCGCGGAGGCGGGCGCGGCCATCGCGGCTGCGATCGCCGCCAGGTAGAGCTGTTTCTCGGCCGCCCCCGCCGGAGGCCGCCGACGGCCCCCAGCACCCCGAGCGGCGGCCGACGCTTTTGGTGACGCAGCATCGTCACTGAACTCGGACGACGACGTCGTTCGCTCGGCCGGGTTGCTGTCGTAGCCAGAACTGCCGCCCCCAGACTGCCCGGGAGAGGCGGGCGCCCCTTGCCCGAAGCACGAGTCCGTCGAGGTGCTGCCGGCCCCCTCGTCATCTTCAAAGATGGGGTTTACCCTGGTGAAAGGATTTTTTAAATTAATTAATAATGATGGGAGACAGTTTTTGAGAAATTTGTCGTTTGATTCGTTTAATTTTTTTTTATTGTTGTATAATTCCAAATTGTTACATCACACTGTTTATGTGTTGAAAACAATTTATTTGAAGAAAAAAAAGGAACAAAACAGCACCACCAGTAGCAAGAATTTTGCTAAACATTTTTCTTTGCTTAAAAACTTGTAATACAAGCAATTTTGATACCTAATTAGTGGTTATTTATGGTTTGAATTATTGCAAGAGAATTAAATTGAATATTAAAAATTTAATTACTAACTTGTAAATCCTTTAAATAAAAGAAAAATTGATGACTTCTGGCATTTCATTTTTTAATTTCATTATTATTATTATTATTATTTTTTTTTAGTCAAAATGGCAAAAGTTTGCAAGTTGTTTGCTGTGTTTATGGCATAAATTACGTAAATCATGATTAACCCAAAGCAATTATATTTGATGTGTATTTATAATATTATTTGTATTATTTGAAAGTAAATCTGTGCATTTATATATATTAATTAATCATTTGATGACTGACTAAATAAATTACGACTGGCAATCACTTCCCATTATCTCAAACGAATTGATTCCATTCTCCGCAACGTCAGATGATAGTAAAGGGTAAAATTATCGCCTGTCTCTTTCTTTGCCTATTTAACATGCGCGCAAGATGCTCGCGAGCGTGCGATCGACTATTCAGATAATGACAAATTAAGTTAATTAACATTCCGATTCAATTGCACAGACTTACGCAACAATAACAGGACGGACAAACAAACACGTTGGTCGATCGATCGGTCGCTTTTGTTTTCAGGCGGCGAACCTTGAATTGCTCGAAGTTGGCTTATAAAATAATGCTCACACTACACACACGCGTATATCATTGAAGGCTCAGGTTACATAATAATTGTCTGCTGTCAGAATTAAATGCACCTCAGAGAACATCACGACATTTTCTCCACACTTTTCTCTCTTACTCGATTATTCAGAACGTCCTTTTTAACCAACGGTTGCAAAATTTCCCCACTATTATGCTTGATATTTGCCGGTAATTGCAAAAAATGGCGCACGAAAAATAAATTTTCCCCAGCAGGATAATTAATCGCAAGGTTCGTTTTCTGTGCCTGGCGACCCGTGACGATCCTTCACTGAAAACAAATAGCCGTTTTATAACTGTATATGTGATCTAAATTGCGATCGCTTCAACTTTTGAACTGGTGAAATTACGATCCAATTATTAGATAAACCAAGGTCTAGCCGAGATGGTGTTTGCTGATTGTTGATAAATGGTTTAATTTAATATTTGCAATCTGATAAGGCCTCCCTCGTCGGCTGGTGCATTAATTCTCTCTTGGTTGCGAATGAGAAAAGTTAATAATTGGAAAATTATTATTGTTCCCCCGTGCGAATTGTGTACGGCTAGGTTACGTGTCGGCGTTTTTACGAGCGTATTATTATTTATTATGCATGCACTTGGAAATTGTGTTGTGAAAAATTGCATGCGTGTTTCGTGTTTTTCTCAGCGCGGATCGCATTTATCCTTCCAGTTTGCACTCGCGATTGATATTAAGCAGCTATAAATTACAGAGTGTACGCCGATTGGATCGTTATTTTCTGCATACAATGAAACACAATTATAGCAATGAGAAAATTATTTTCTTTCGATTGTGTATGTTTTATAAGAAAATTTTAATGCCTTTATGTACATTGTTGGAGTTGAAATATGCATTCAGCTGGTTATTACATCACATATGTTTTGTTTGAGAAATTATATTTCAGTTTAAGATTCTTGAAACAAAATGAGCATTCTAATTTTTCTTCTTGAAAATTATAGCAGTCAAGTGGGCGATAAGCCAAGAATTTTCAATTTATTCCTAAAACACTTTTTTAGATCGAAATGTGCATAATTATACTTAACAACCATCATGCAAATGAAATTCAAATTCAAAAGTACAATTCACCAGACAAAATCAACAGGAAAATATTTCAATTACAAATGTTTTATCTCTTAACGTCTTAAAAATTAAAACACCCCCTGATCGAGGAAAATTTTTAAATGTTGTTTTTTAAATATTTCTTCTTCTTAACTATTGAAAGCAATTGCGAATATGAATTTGGCTTTTTTATTTCTTACCTGCTGACCGCATAGATTTGCTTGGGTCGTCGGGCTTTGGTGCGACTCTTTTTGCCGCTTTGAATGCGCCTCACCCTTGGCAACGACAACGAGATGATTGCAAAAGGGTCATCGGTGATCACTTCGTGGGGGCCGTCCACATGGTCAGTCGGCGCCGACCCGCCAAACCACTTAAACATTGCTGCGGCAGGCCAAAGGGGAGGCCCACGTCAGGGCGCATTGAGCCGTTTACCATCGGACTGTAGCAAACATTCTGCAACAAAAACAACGTGCCAATTTCAATGAAAATTATCATAACAAAAATACATACATAGCATTTTGGATATTGTTGGGCTCAACAATATTAGAGGAATGAATTAGGATCGCTTAATCCCCACCCTTCGAACTTTAATTTACGTAGGGAAAATTGCGAATACCCAGCGTAACTTCATTTATCTTCGGAGGTAACTTATTTTAACAAACCATCAAGAAAATAAAATAAGTGCTCCTGTGCACTCTATGAGCACCAATTTATCACACCATTCTCATTATGTGGGCCGCAAATTGAGATTGTTATTGGACTGCCTTATTATTCTTAACAAATTGAAAATTAATTGGCTCCTTTTCAACCACCATGAGCCAACACGAACAACATTTCACAATCCATTGTCTGGCTGGGCAAGATGAATCGACCGAATTTGCCAATTTACTCCAATTAGTTTCATCCGCGACTTGAGCAACTTCGAACTACAGGCAAGGTCGTGATCAAACGGATCTCTTAGAACTGGCGATGCTCTTCAGGGGCGCCACACCCTGAGATCGCGACACCTGCAGCTTTGGTCATTGCTCGGCGCCGAACGTGACGACCTTTGGTGTTTGGCCAAGCGTGCAGGGAGTTGTAGAGCGGTCGGCGATCATCGCGCGGATGGTCACGACTTTCTTGTTGGGCGACATCCTCTGCTTACTCATTCGCGCGCAGTGTGAGACAATTTCATGAATATTTCAAAGTCACCCGATTTGGAAAGGGTGTGCGGGGTTTTGTGGTGAGTTCAATGGCGGGCATTGCTGAGTTTTCCTCGTCACTAGAGGATATATGGAGGTGTTTGAGCGGAGGATTGTTGTGGTATGCAAGCAAACTAGGTGCGCTGAATTAATCACGGGCGCTGAATGAGAAATCGTCCAACGCATTATCATTTTTAGTATCGCTTAGTATGTACAGTGATGTCAAGTCGAAACCTTACAAGTAACTGAAGAGGGAAATAACATAAAAAAAAGCAAATTACTATATAATGAAAAGCTGGATTTGCGTTTGTTTTTACATTTCGATCAAAATTAAAAAATAATAATTAAATAAATAATTCTTCTCTCACCTCGAGAAAGGTCACACACGTTCTTATAATTTCAATTTTTTTATAATAAAATAAAAATTTATTACTGTTGTTTACTTTGTGTCGTTACAAATAAACTGCTATTTCTCTTATAAATTTGAAATTGTTCAGCATAAGAGAAAATCAGTCATGAACGTGAATCTCGTTCATCATCAGTGGACAATTTGCCCGTCAAGAGCAAAGTTATTGGCGCATAATGCCTTTCAGAGAGGGTGCCAACAAGCGAGAGGTTTTTGTTGGGCCAACTGAGAGAGGTGAACAATAAACTTGATAAGAGACAAAAACGGTTTATTGCCACCGACACCCGATGCTCAAAGCTAATGGACGCGTGAGAGTCATTAAGTGTGCACGAGGTGCTGTGCATTATTATATTATTAATGATAATTCACGACGCAACTTAATGTGCGTTGTCCTCACCACAAGAGTCAAGTGGCCAAGGAGGATCACGTACTTGGCGACACTTCAACACTGCGAATGGGAAAATGAGCAAGTGGTCAGGGTCCTTCGAGCCATTAGACAGAGAGATGATGACCGCTAGCTTTATGCAACAGGTGTCACAATATTCCACGTGTCCGGGATGCATTATTGAAATTATTATTGCGCTAGCGAGATGCGTGTATCGACGACTGCGATTGCTCATTCGTGCATTCGCGACTTTTATTTATTGCTGTTTGTGCATGCATTCCAGTCGAGGCGGCCGAGTGACCATGACCTGCGCCACTGCGACCACACCGCTCTAACTTGAGCACACCTCTTACTAAAATCTCCAGCTTGGCCAGATCAATTGCGCACTTTTAAATTAAGATATAAATAAATTTATGAAAATTTATTCCCAAAATTGAAAAAAGTTATTTCCTAATTTTCCAAAACAAACTGATGTGAAGCAATGATGAAATTTAAGTTTTAAAACATAATTTCCATTGCTCAAAGTAGATATTTAAATAAAAAATAATTAAAAATCGCCTGATCATCAATAGACATCTACATAATTATGTAATATGCATACTTAAAAAATTCATCATGCAGAAGCAATTTGAAAGATATTATTCGAAACTTTAGAATCTAGCTGTTTTTTACTTAAAGTATGATTTTGGAAGAAAATGTACATTTAATTGTTAGTTGCAATATTAGCTAAACAGAAAAAATATAGTTCACTTCTTTTATTTTTATAATGGAAATGAAGAGATCGGGCTATTGACTCGTTGCAGAAAATTGTTTTGTATTCAAAAACAAATGGCTCAATTTTTTAAAATAAAATAAAAAACAATTTTCTGCAACAAGGAAAAAGCCCGATCTCTTCATTTCCAAGATTATATATGTTGGTAAATTTTGCAAAATTTTGGTTTATTTCGTAACATATAGAAAACATAATTAAGCATAGTAAATTAAGAGAATTTTGTTGCTATAACAGAAATTTAATGTTTTTTAATAAACAACCTCAAAATTAGCCATTTTAATTCTTTAGCAAAAAGGGATAAATTTGGACTATTTTAACAAGATTTTATTAATAACAAAAATAGGCACTCCACGTGGCTTTGATAACTTATTATGCTACTAATACTGTTTTTATGTATTGGGTATTGCATTATGTGCTCTCTTTAAATCATCTAGAAATTTCGTTGCTTGATGCTTTTCAGGAGCAGAATTGTTGCGAGTGTTGTGACAAGCAATTATATCCTGTCAAGAAATTGTTTTACCGCCCGTCCATCACGCACACAAATGATTTATAATGTACCATGAATCAATACATAGCAACATAGCATAATTTTTATTTTCCAGATTGATTAAAGGTTGCTCTGCTTTTCTCCGCGCGGTTGACTTAGAGGAAATCAAGTACACTCTCGTAGCCAGGCAATAAAAACACGCAAAATAACACACGACAAAGAGAGAGTATCAGCGTATACAGTTGTTATAAGTCAGGTTATAGTTATATTCAATCGCTATAGAAGTAGTTGCAACGATCATGAATTGCCAGTACTAACGTGCGTGTGTGATCTCGAGAAAGTAAATAAAGTGTGCGCAGCGCACAGCTATTTATTTGGCTTTAAAGGTGAATTTCTTTAGAGATCTTTTCGAATTAAGATTTTTACAGAAAGTTGACCAACATTAAAAATCATAATTTGCATTAGAAATGAAGATATCGGGCTTTTTCCTTGTTGAAAAAATTTCATGAGCAAGAAATAATACAAAAAAATTAACAAAATTTTACATTTTTAAAATTTGCTAATTTTTTGTATTGCTCATGAAATATAAATCAATTAATAATTATTATTATTATCATTAAAGGTGCGCAACACATATAAATAGATCAAAATAAATATTATTTAAAATAATATTCGTGAAGTTATTATTAAAAATTAAAAACAAATAAACTATATTCTAAAAATGCAATGAAATCTGGCAAAAATGAAATCAAACAAAATGATATTTAATGTATTTAATAATTTATACCGAATTGAAGTTAATGTTTTGTTTGAAATTTATACAAATAATGAATTATATTAAACATAAAGTCATGTAATAACACATTTATTGCTTCAATAATTATTGTCTCCAGCTTGTTGGGAGCAATAGCCAGATGAGCAGCTGCCTCGCATTGCAACAGCGTATGAGCTCAATGCTCAATCGCATCTCCACGGTCCAGTGGGCAATGCGAGGTCCCCCCGAGACCCACCCACACCTGACCTCCCGTATTTGAGTGGCATCCCTTGGCCTCAAGCAAGGAATGAAAGAGGCAATAAGTGGCTGATTGTGCAGAGTTGTCTTAATTGCAAGCCGCGCGCGCGAGAGTGCAAGGACTGGGTAATTATTTTTCAGTCAGTCGTTCACGGCTCGTTCCACGTGAACGAGCCCAGTGTGTTCGCAGCAGTAGAGCATAAACCTATTGAGTGTGTGTGTGTGTGTGTGTGTGTGTGTGTGTGTGTGTGTGTGTGTGTATATATACATAATTATGATATGAGGTGTATCATTAAAGAAGATTTTTTTTCCCAAAGTGCATCATCGTCGGTAATTGACAACCGTAATTCACCATATCGCACAAACAACCGCTTAAGAGAGAATATTTCTTTCAATTTATTGATTTTTCTCTCCACCATTATTAACAATCGCCCGAAGGTGCTTTTCCTGGCGTCAACTTGAAGGAAAAACGGTTGCCGTGGAAATTCTTTGCGTCTATTTATTGCATCAAGTAATGTCGTTTCAATGCCAATAAACTCATCTTATTACAAAATGAGCAGTTTTATTGAGATGTTGTGCGCGATTTGCATTGTTTATCGGTTTATTGGACTGTGAAAAACAAGAGGGTTGACGCTTTATGGACACGTGGGATGAAGACAGTTTCGTGATTTTGTGGAAATCCAAGCAGCAATAAAAAACACAATTGGCCGCAATACATTCAAAATTACTGTTTGATAGAGCATATTTAAGCATGGTAAAAATAAATAATACAGTTGTTCTGAATTGTAGGCAATGAACGATGAAGGATACTTTTGATTCAATCGATCTAAACAATCAAACAACTTTTGAAATAAATCATTGTTATGATATAAAGATAAAAGCAACGAAAAGTGGTTGATTTTTTTTTTCAAATCCTTTTCAAACTTGGATAGGGCTTCAACCATCTATTGCATTACTATTATTATTCCTTCGCTTTTATTGTGTCATAAGTGATATGTTACATATAATTTCTCTGTCGTAATCCACTTATTTACAACTGGCTGTTTTGGTAATGTAGAAGCTTCAAATTTCATAGTTGAATTGCTGAACGTACAAGTTTTCAGAAAATTAATTTTGGAAAATAAAAGTTTTTAACTTCTATTTTTTGAACCGTTATTCATAATAGAAGTGGTCAAACAAAGAAGTTATTATCATTGTTTATTCTACTCAA